TATTGTATTTACCCGCATGGATCCTATTCTAGTTATATATATTATACATGTATAAAATCGTACGAACAATAATTTTTCATGAAGAGGCGAATGATATGGAGGGAGAGGTGCTTATGTTGCGGTGAAGTTATATATACACAAATGTTTTTTTGACTTTTGCAACACTATCTTGGAGTCCACAGTCATTTATGTCTCTTGCGATGTTAGTTACAACAGCAAATTCCTTATCTTGTGGAGGAAAGCATCAACGAAGTGGAACCAAGCCCTGCTCCAAGGAGAATCAAAACAGAGAAATACAAATATTCCAAGAAGAATTGTCACATAGGCTGCAACAAAACTCCAACAGAAAGAAACCATGTCGATTGGGGATTTATCAGCTTCAACTTCACTATTTGGTTCTTGAAAGTTGTTGTTGCAGCTTTTGTTGGTAGGTTTTCCACAGAGAAGAGGATTACCAAAGTAACTTTGTGTATCAAAAGTGTTGAACTGTTTTCCCTGTGGAATTGCTCCTGATAAGTTATTGTATGATACATTGAAGACAGCTAGGCGGCTCATGAAATCTGTTAGTTGTGGTGGGATGTAGTTTATTGAAAGAAAGATCAAGTCTTTCCACGTCCTTTATACCTGAAAAACTTTCTGGTATTACACCTGATAATTTATTGTGAGAAAGATTGAGAGCTCGTAGTTCAAGAAGACCCCCAAGCTCTACTGGGATTTCACCACTCAACTCATTTTCTGCGAGATCCAAACCAAACATGTATTTAAAGTTTTCACCCATATGTAGGCATCGTACCTGAGCAAAACTAGGGATGTAATAACCATTATGGCTGAGTAATTCCGTAGTCGTAACCATAGAATGTATCTTCTTTCCCCAAACTGAATGATGTATTGCTAAGACATGAAGGTATGTATAGATCCATTCAATCTGTTGTTTGAAAGATCCAAAAGGTGGATGTTTCTTAGACCACACAGCTTGTGAGGAATACGACCTGTTAAATTATTGCCCCGCAAAAGAAGAATGCCTATGCTTTCGGTGTTGATGAACTCTGGAACATATCCAGACAGTCTGTTATTTCTTAGATCAAGTATGGCGACATTCGTTAGCAACGCGTGTGGAATCTCCCCTGATAAATTATTATCTTGCAGGAATAACCCTACGTGAGTTGTAAAATTTGTGTGTGGAGGTATTTCCCCGGATAAAATATATTCGCAGAGAGGTTCAGTAGCCGGAGAATGGATATGTTGAACAAGGAAGCAGGTATTTCACCTTCCAACGAATTCTCTGAAAGCAGGAGTGCATACAAGTCAAGTTCTCCGATCCAACTTGGAATAATACCTGTGAAATTGTTATTTGAAATATCAAGCAGTTTCAAGGTGTGTAAGCTTCTTAAACCTTGTCCAATCTTGCCTGTAAACTGATTGTTACTCATAGACAGTATACTTATATCAGTAAAGTTGGCTGATTCAGCTAAAACCTCTCCACTGAGTTTGCTATGTGATAGGCTCAAGACTCTTTATCATTGAATAACAACCATGTACAATACTTTTTGGCACCTTCCCGTCCAAACTGTTGTAAGATGTATCCAGAAATTCAACCCCTCCCATGTTACCAAGAGAAGATGGTAGATTTCCTTGAAAATCGTTATTAGCTAGATTCATATACTTTAGATGAGGAAGTATCCATCCAATGTTCTCAGGAACCAAATGATTGAATTTATTGACTGATGCATCCAGTAAAACCAAGTTATGAGCAGAGTTCGGCAGCTGAAAGATCGTAAAAGAATTATTACGCAGAAGCAAAGCTTCGAGCTTTGTATTGTTAGCCAATAGCCATGAAGGGACATTTCCAGAAATTTTATTGTCAGAGAGATCAACGTGACGCAAATCAGTCTGGTGTTGGAGAAATTTAGGAACCTTCTCCAAGTTGCAAGATCTTAGTTCAATGACACTCAATTGAAATTTTGGCTTCCAAGAAATTTCCAACACTACTTGAAGTGAGTGGGATCTTGAAGAAAGTTTGAACACTCTAAGCTCTGAGAGGTTGGCGATCGAACTAAGTGAGAACAACCCTTCGAAATTATTTTCCAACAGCGATAAGTACTCGAGGGAAATAAGGCTACCGAGAGAAGATGGCACCTCCCAAGTAAATTGGTTCGATGAGAGATCAAGAACTCAAAGTCTACTCAAGCTAGTTAAACATAAGGGAAACTGACCTACTAGTTTGTTGTTACGGATAACTAGCTCTTGCATATTCTTCAACTCGCAAATACCTATAGTGACCAACTGCAGCAGTTTTAGTCACCTAAATAAATGGTGAATGCACCAAAATTTCATTACTAAAATGTGACATATCTTAGTTAACTTACCTTGCAATTCCATTGAGCCAGAAAATTCATTATCACTTAGATCCAGAGATTTAAGCTTGCTCGGGAACTCTGCCACACAAAAGTAAACACCTTTACTTAAGAACATGATGATCTCAAGAAGGACACAAACCATATAAAAAAGATGTGATATGGAGTCGACTGAATTTCCACCCTAGAAAGAAACGAAAGCATTTATGGACAGTGGTTTTGAGCTACCTCGTACTGGTATGGAGCCATTAAATAAATTTGTTTCCACTCAGGTCCAACAGTTCCAAGTTTGCCAAATCTTTAAGTTCTAAAAGTGAATCCAACAAATATAGTAACGATACAAACTGAATCGTTCTAACAAACAATACATCAACAATAAATAGATCATGCCAGTTACAAATGGAGAAACACACCTTTAACAGGAAAAGGACCATCCATGTTGTTGCTCCGGAGAAACAGAGTTTTAAGTGATTTATCAGCACTTAGAAAAGGAAAGATGCTGTTGTCGAATTCATTAAAAGAGAGATCCAGAATCTCCAGGTTTTTAAACCTCCTTAGGCTTTTTTTTTGTCAACAACCTCCTTAGGCTTTTATAACCTGCAAACAATAATTTTTGTTTTCAGAGAAAAAAACAAAAAATCTTTGTGTCATTTGTCCAAGTAGAGAGAATAAATTTGGTATGATCGAAGTCTTGTTGAGAGTTCTCTGAATGTGAGATGACATATGTCTTGAACTCCAATAAAGCCTTCCTTTCTTCCAAACACAGTACAACTTCTGTATCCATGTATCTGTCCCAACACTATCATCATCCATATCAAGTTTTGACCCAAGAACATCTTCCTCCCCATTGCGACTTTAATGACAAAAGTTGTCCATAAGAATTACGTTTGTAGATTCACGAAGTCTCTTGGTCGTATGATATGGCTCGTTTAGCATATAAATAAAGAAAGTCAAGGTCTTTGTAGAAGAATACTCATAATCATCATCTTGATAAATGTGTGCCTTGGTCAGCATCGGCCAATATTTTTATCATATGATATTGCGTGTTAGTAAAAGAGACAACTAAAGAAAATACTAAAAACAGACTGGTTATTTGTTGAAATGTCCCTCTTATAGACCTTTTCCCAGGTTTCTACATCAGACTACGAAACAAGAACTCAATCTTCCTTGTACAGTACTCTATTAGCAGAGAGCTCTTCCATATCTTTTTCGATTGTTCTTAATGTATTATATATATCATTCTT